ACTAGGTGAATAATCGACGAGTCACAGGTGGTACAGGAGTTACACAACCCAAAGTCTATAGTTAGTTCCCCGAGGTATCCCTTCCCCCCCCCCCCCGCCCTTCCTCCACGAGTGCCTTTTTATGGAACATCAGCCGCCTGTGAGTGCGTCTTTTGAGAGAGTGTGGCTCCTCTAGATGACACTAGAGGGAGAGTAGAGCGGCGGGGAGCGACTCACAACCTTCTTGTGACCAGTTATGAAGAGAACCGATTCATAATGCTTCATGGTATGAGAGGTGTGGTCCCTGAAGCTTGGGAGGGAGGTGGTGTGGTCCCTGAAGCTTGGGAGGGAGGTGGTGTGGTCACTGAAGCTTGGGAGGAGGTGGTGTGGTCCCTGAAGCTTGGGAGGGAGGAGGTGGTGTGGTCACTGAAGCTTGGGAGGGAGGTGGTGTGGTCACTGAAGCTTGGGAGGGAGGTGGTGTGGTCCCTGAAGCTTGGGAGGGAGGAGGTGGTGTGGTCCCTGAAGCTTGGGAGGGAGGTGGTGTGGTCCCTGAAGCTTGGGAGGGAGGAGGTGGTGTGGTCACTGAAGCTTGGGAGGGAGGTGGTGTGGTCACTGAAGCTTGGGAGGGAGGTGGTGTGGTCCCTGAAGCTTGGGAGGGAGGTGGTGTGGTCCCTGAAGCTTGGGAGGGAGGAGGTGGTGTGGTCCCTGAAGCTTGGGAGGGAGGAAGTGTGGTCCCTGAAGCTTGGGAGGGAGGAGGTGGTGTGGTCCCTGAAGCTTGGGAGGGAGGAGGTGGTGTGGTCCCTGAAGCTTGGGAGGGAGGAGGTGGTGTGGTCCCTGAAGCTTGGGAGGGAGGTGGTGTGGTCCCTGAAGCTTGGGAGGGAGGAGGTGGTGTGGTCCCTGAAGCTTGGGAGGGAGGTGGTGTGGTCCCTGAAGCTTGGGAGGGAGGAAGTGTGGTCCCCGAAGCTTGGGAGGGAGGAGGTGGTGTGGTCCCTGAAGCTTGGGATGGAGGAGGTGGTGTGGTCCCTGAAGCTTGGGAGGGAGGTGGTGTGGTCCCTGAAGCTTGGGAGGGAGGAGGTGGTGTGGTCCCTGAAGCTTGGGAGGGAGGAAGTGTGGTCCCTGAAGCTTGGGAGGGAGGAGGTGGTGTGGTCCCTGAAGCTTGGGAGGGAGGAAGTGTGGTCCCTGAAGCTTGGGAGGGAGGAGGTGGTGTGGTCCCTGAAGCTTGGGAGGGAGGAAGTGTGGTCCATGAAGCTTGGGAGGGAGGAGGTGTGGTCCCTGAAACTTGGGAGGGAGGAGGTGTGGTCCCTGAAGCTTGGGAGGGAGGAGGTGGTGTGGTCCCTGAAGCTTGGGAGGGAGGTGGTGTGGTCCCTGAAGCTTGGGAGGGAGGAGGTGGTGTGGTCCCTGAAGCTTGGGAGGTGGTGTGGTCCCTGAAGCTTGGGAGGGAGGTGGTGTGGTCCCTGAAGCTTGGGAGGGAGGTGGTGTGGTCCCTGAAGCTTGGGAGGGAGGAGGTGGTGTGGTCCCTGAAGCTTGGGAGGGAGGTGGTGTGGTCCCTGAAGCTTGGGAGGGAGGAGGTGGTGTGGTCCATGAAGCTTGGGAGGGAGGTGGTGTGGTCCCTGAAGCTTGGGAGGGAGGAAGTGTGGTCCCTGAAGCTTGGGAGGGAGGAGGTGGTGTGGTCCCTGAAGCTTGGGAGGGAGGAAGTGTGGTCCCTGAAGCTTGGGAGGGAGGTGGTGGTGTGGTCCCTGAAGCTTGGGAGGGAGGAAGTGTGGTCCCTGAAGCTTGGGAGGGAGGGAGGGAGGTGGTGTGGTCCCTGAAGCTTGGGAGGGAGGAAGTGTGGTCCCTGAAGCTTGGGAGGGAGGTGTGGTCCCTGAAGCTTGGGAGGGAGGAAGTGTGGTCCCTGAAGCTTGGGAGGGAGGTGGTGTGGTCCCTGAAGCTTGGGAGGGATGAGGTGGTGTGGTCCCTGAAGCTTGGGAGGGAGGAAGTGTGGTCCCTGAAGCTTGGGAGGGAGGTGTGGTCCCTGAAGCTTGGGAGGGAGGAGGTGGTGTGGTCCCTGAAGCTTGGGAGGGAGGTGGTGTGGTCCCTGAAGCTTGGGAGGGATGAGGTGGTGTGGTCCCTGAAGCTTGGGAGGGATGAGGTGGTGTGGTCACTGAGGCTTGGGAGGGAGGAGGTGGTGTGGTCCCTGAAGCTTGGGAGGGAGGTGGTGTGGTCCCTGAAGCTTGGGAGGGAGGTGGTGGTGTGGTCCCTGAAGCTTGGGAGGGAGGTGGTGGTGTGGTCCCTGAAGCTTGGGAGGGAGGTGGTGTGGTCACTGAGGCTTGGGAGGGAGGAGGTGGTGTGGTCCCTGAAGCTTGGGAGGGAGGTGGTGTGGTCACTGAGGCTTGGGAGGGAGGAGGTGGTGTGGTCCCTGAAGCTTGGGAGGGAGGAAGTGTGGTCCCTGAAGCTTGGGAGGGAGGTGGTGGTGTGGTCCCTGAAGCTTGGGAGGGAGGAGGTGTGGTCCCTGAAGCTTGGGAGGGAGGAGGTGGTGTGGTCCCTGAAGCTTGGGAGGGAGGAGGTGTGGTCCCTGAAGCTTGGGAGGGAGGTGGTGGTGTGGTCACTGAAGCTTGGGAGGGAGGAGGTGGTGTGGTCCCTGAAGCTTGGGAGGGAGGAGGTGTGGTCCCTGAAGCTTGGGAGGGAGGTGGTGGTGTGGTCACTGAAGCTTGGGAGGGAGGTGTGGTCCCTGAAGCTTGGGAGGGAGGTGGTGTGGTCCCTGAAGCTTGGGAGGGAGGAGGTGGTGTGGTCCCTGAAGCTTGGGAGGGAGGTGTGGTCCCTGAAGCTTGGGAGGGAGGAGGTGTGGTCCCTGAAGCTTGGGAGGGAGGTGGTGTGGTCCCTGAAGCTTGGGAGGGAGGAGGTGGTGTGGTCCCTGAAGCTTGGGAGGGAGGTGTGGTCCCTGAAGCTTGGGAGGGAGGAGGTGTGGTCCCTGAAGCTTGGGAGGGAGGTGTGGTCCCTGAAGCTTGGGAGGGAGGTGGTGGTGTGGTCCCTGAAGCTTGGGAGGGAGGTGGTGGTGTGGTCCCTGAAGCTTGGGAGGGAGGAGGTGGTGTGGTCCCTGAAGCTTGGGAGGGAGGAGGTGGTGTGGTCCCTGAAGCTTGGGAGGGAGGAGGTGGTGTGGTCCCTGAAGCTTGGGAGGGAGGAGGAGGTGTGGTCCCTGAAGCTTGGGAGGGAGGAGGTGGTGTGGTCCCTGAAGCTTGGGAGGGAGGTGTGGTCCCTGAAGCTTGGGAGGGAGGAGGTGGTGTGGTCCCTGAAGCTTGGGAGGGAGGTGTGGTCCCTGAAGCTTGGGAGGGAGGTGGTGTGGTCCCTGAAGCTTGGGAGGGAGGTGGTGTGGTCCCTGAAGCTTGGGAGGGAGGTGTGGACCCTGAAGCTTGGGAGGGAGGAGGTGGTGTGGTCCATGAAGCTTGGGAGGGAGGTGTGGTCCCTGAAGCTTGGGAGGGAGGTGGTGTGGTCCCTGAAGCTTGGGAGGGAGGTGGTGTGGTCCCTGAAGCTTGGGAGGTGGTGTGGTCCCTGAAGCTTGGGAGGGAGGAGGTGGTGTGGTCCATGAAGCTTGGGAGGGAGGTGTGGTCCCTGAAGCTTGGGAGGGAGGTGTGGTCCCTGAAGCTTGGGAGGGAGGAGGTGGTTTATATTTAGCACTGAGAGGACAATCATGAGAGAACACGACCATGGAGGCTGGAGCCAAAGATGAGGTAGCACACAGCCCACCTCACCCCCCCCCCCCCCCCCCCGCCATACCTCACACCTACACCACCCCATAACCCCCCTAAATTTACCCACACCCTCCCCTATCACCCCGTAACCCGCCCATCCTATTCCAGTGACTCACCCGCGGCCCCCCGCCCCCTTCCCCACACCACAGTAGCTATCTCCCCCCCCCCCAGCCCAGCCCCCTGTTTCGGCAGTACTTATATTAAGGGTGAGGATCATAGTACATATACCGACCTAGAATGCAATTAGAAAACACACAGCCCTGCTCCTGTGCCAGGTAAGTCCACTACGGGCTCACCATAGCCCGTGCTACTTGGAACTTTTTGTTCCAAGTAGCGAATCTTAAACAACAACAACAACGCAATTAGAAAGTAGAAATCAATACTATTGAATTTGGACAAACCGGAAAACGATTTTCTACTTATGTTGCAAAGGCAAACTAAACTAACCTAACCTAACCTTCCCAGGCCTGATACATGCTATCTGAGGCCTAATATAGTACATATGTGTACTATACTAGGCCTAGGAATATTTAAATTTGTGTATTAGCTTAATTTTATTTGAACTCTATAAAGTGAAAAGTAGAAAGTTCTAATATCTAGCTGATTAGTACGTCAATGTTTGTACTATGGTGCACTTAGTTACAAAAACTACTATCTAAACAGGAGGACGGGTTGAGAGCTAACGACAGGGCCTCCCCCCCCCCCCACCATTCCCACCCCCACAACCACCACCAACCATAGGTACTATCACTGGTGGTAGTACACAGTGATAGTACCTATAGTTACTATTGTGTTAGTACAAAATATGACTGTTGCTTCTAGGAAAAAATCACGTTTTGAACTATTCATTTTATACAAGGCCCGAGAGAGAAGGAAATGGAACAGTAGAAAACGCGAAATTGATTTAAGGTACAGTCACTATTTTGTATATTCAATAAGAAGGTTGATGACAGCACAGACACATATAGACACGTTGGGTGTATAGGCCTATTGGCTGAGCACTTTCTCCTGATAACTGCCTCCTTACCTTACCTCCCTCACACACGAAAATCAAATGGTAAACACAGAAATAAACAACATAAAAACTAAAACTCTAAAAATGAATTGCTTCAGTCAAAATTAGTTACGTTAATTTGAAGAAACACAAATCATTACCTCAAGCTAGCAAAATATATATAAAGGTGCATTACATCAACTCAAAAGTGAATTGAACCTCTTTTTTGGTTGAGCATAAGAAAGCACAGTATATATGCATGAGTTACAAAGAGCAATGGTAAACAAGACAAGATAACTTACTTTATGTCTACAGGCTGTTCGTTCGCTGCAAGAGAGAGGAAGAAAGTGAAATAAAGCAAGTCAGCCCATTAAGGTCAGGTGGAATGTTAGCTAGCCAGGGAGGAAACAGGGCTGGGGGTCGAGACAGCCCCTCACAGTGCCTTGCAATCCCTTAGCTGAGCGAGGGTTTGTCGCCCCATCACCCAGCTGTGAGAGGGCTGGTGCCACACCCCCCAGCTGTGAGAGGGCTGGTGCCACACCCCCCAGCTGTGAGAGGGCTGGTGCCACACCCCCCAGCTGTGAGAGGGCTGGAGCCACACCCCCCAGCTGTGAGAGGGCTGGTGCCATGCCCCCCAGCTGTGAGAGGGCTGGTGCCACGCCCCCCAGCTGTGAGAGGGCTGGTGCCACGCCCCCCAGCTGTGAGAGGGCTGGTGCCATGCCCCCCAGCTGTGAGAGGGCTGGTGCCACGCCCCCCAGCTGTGAGAGGGCTGGTGCCACGCCCCCCAGCTGTGAGAGGGCTGGTGCCACACCCACCAGCTGTGAGAGGGCTGCCCCCCCCCCACCCCAGCCCTATTTCAGCCAGCGCCGCCAAAGCCTGGTTGCGGCAGCTGGCGACGCCAACATACAACAGCGAGGCATCTTATTAGTTACATTAAACTACCCGGGTCTGGCTTTCTCCAGAGCCTTCAACTCCTTCCTTACCTTTCAGGGGGGTCATCTATGGCTGGAAGGGAAAAAAACGGTATAGAACAATTAGTTGCTTCCAAAAAGATGCTTGTTTAGGTGTTCTAATGACCCCGTAGTTCTTAAAATTGGCAATTACTCCGCTAATGTCTCTCGCTTGCTCTCTCTCACTCTGTGTCTGGCGGAGTCTTGGTAAAATTTGTGCCATTGAAGTCGAAGCAAACCCGCTTCCAAATGCCAACAACACAGAACTGCGATTAGCGTGAAATTGAGAGTGCTTGAAGTAGCGCCCAGCGTGATAAGTCACGCGGGTTCCGCTACATCATAATGGCCTGATGTCAGCCTTGGATTCAAGCATTAAAGCTTTTTTGAATCATGTTACAAGAACGAGATGAAGCATTGCCAATTCAAGACACATTGGGGGACATTAGGTGATGGTGTGTGTGTGTGTGTGTGTGTGTGTGTGTGTGTGTGTGTGTGTGTGTGTGTGTGTGTGTGTGTGTGTGTGTGTGTGTGTGTGTGTGTGTGTGAATAAGAGAATATCTTCAACAACGTTAAAACACTCTTCAGTGTGACACACATCATCTTATATTTAAGCTGGTGTGAATCACTTTCTTTGTATGCATATTCTCCATGAAATCACAATAGCTTGATGAATCCATGATGAATCTAGAGACCATATGATGGAATCGAACCCGGATCCTAGAACTCGTCATACACACGCACTACCAACTAGACTATGATGGGTTTAAGAGTGTCCTAGAGGCAAATATTATGTGCTTTAGCGTTGTTGGGGGGGAGAAATGCATTTGTATTTTGATAGAATAATGATCTTGTAATGATCTTGAGGTTTCTAAATATATATGAAGAAGAGGCAATACATACACTTCTATAACAAAACTCTAACTCTGGTAAGTTAGCACCGATAAAGTTATTCATGAATTGTATTGACTGTTTAAAATAAATAGTATTTATCATTACTTATAAATCCGTTACAAAGGAATTAGATGGAAAATTTTAACTAAAAAAATGTGTCGATTCTACTTAATTTCAAAGTCTTGATACTTTCAAAATTAAATGAGACAGCGACTCTATTATTTATAAGGAGGGTTAAACATGTTATGGAGTGATTATTAAAGAACACCTGTGCTTGAGGTAGTTGTTGTTTCTGGCAGTTGTTAGCGAAGCTGACTAGTGGATAAGTAGCAGTGGGGCAGTAGTGGTTATGGGAGTGGGCAACCGTGCAGCAGCAGTGGTTATGGGAGTGGGCAACCCTGCAGCAGCAGTGGTTGCCACCCTGGCTATATCCATGGCTTGCTGCTGGGTTAAGGCCACCACAAGTGCTTACTCATCCAACAAGTGCTATAGCCAGTGTTGCACAGAGCATACATGCTAGTATTGCACAGTTGCACAACTCACAAGGTTACGGAAGACGCGCTAACTGAAATGTTCATTATTCCATGATCACGGATTATACAGGATCATTATAATTGGAGGTCAAATTATCCCGGCAATGTTAAGGGCAATATTATGACTTGTATATTAATCCCAGGAAGACCACTCACCATACCTATTAGGGAACTAACAGGGGGAAAGCACCACAGCCATTACGCCTGTATAGCACTTGGAAGGGGGTCAGGATAAGGATCTGGGATGGGACGGGGGGAAGGAATGTTGCTCAACCTGCATGTAGCGAGGTGGACGATCGGGGACTGAACGCCGACCTGCATGTAGCGAGACCGTCGCTCTGCCGTTCCCGTTGTGGTGTATGCCACTCCAGCATGACTGGTCCGCCCTCGGAACACAATGGTAAGACTCGGCTCACCCCGGCGTGCTACGGTGGACCTCCAGCCACTTGGAGTGGTGGGTACAGCGTCGCCTTGCGGGCTGTAGGGTCGGCGTTTGTGCCCCCCTGATGGTCCAAGGGGTTGGAGGACATTGTTCCTTCTCTCCGCCCTCGTATCTCTTCCAAGTCTAATATGGCCATACGAGCTTAGGGCTTTCTCCTCGTAACTGCAGGAACAGGTTCGAATCCTGTTCTTGTAAATGGATGATTCTTGTCAGTTGTAGCCTGAACCACTCATCCATCTCCGGATAACATAGCCAATGATGGATAAGTTGTTTACCTCGTGTCATGGATAAGTAAGTTTCAGTGAACCGTTTCCAGAGGGTCACACGAACACCGAGGGAGACAAAGGGTTCTACAGTGGATGAGTTCTACAATTATTAACCAATTAGCTTTTTTTACTCGAAAAAAATCCAAGTGAGAAGAAACGTTTATATGATTCTAGAGATGATGACGATGGAGGCGAAGCGTGTGTGTAGGACTGGGAAGCTGGTTATCCTGACGACCCTAGGGTGAGTAGCATGGTATATGTTAGGGTGTGAAGCATGGTATATGCTAGGGTGAGAGGCATGATATATGTTAGGGTGTGAAGCATGGTATATGCTAGGGTGAGTAGCATGGTATATGTTAGGGTGTGAAGCATGGTATATGCTAGGGTGAGAGGCATGGTATATGTTAGGGTGTGAAGCATGGTATATGCTAGGGTGAGTAGCATGGTATATGTTAGGGTGTGAAGCATGGTATATGCTAGGGTGAGAGGCATGGTATATGTTAGGGTGTGAAGCATGGTATATGCTAGGGTGAGAGGCATGGTATATGTTAGGGTGTGAAGCATGGTATATGCTAGGGTGAGAGGCATGGTATATGTTAGGGTGTGAAGCATGGTATATGCTAGGGTGAGAGACATGGTATATGCTAGGGTGAGAGGCATGGTATATGCTAGGGTGAGAAGCATGGTATATGCTAGGGTGTGAAGCATGGTATATGCTAGGGTGAGAGGCATGGTATATGCTAGGGTGAGAAGCATGGTATATGCTAGGGTGTGAAGCATGGTATATGCTAGGGTGAGAGGCATGGTATATGCTAGGGTGAGAAGCATGGTATATGCTAGGGTGAGAGACATGGTATATGCTAGGGTAAGAAGCATGGTATATGCTAGGGTGAGAAGCATGGTATATGCTAGGGTGAGAGACATGGTATATGCTAGGGTGAGAAGCATGGTATATGCTAGGGTGAGAAGCATGGTATATGCTAGGGTGAGAGACATGGTATATGCTAGGGTGAGAGACATGGTATATGCTAGGGTGAGAAGCATGGTATATGCTAGGGTGAGAGGCATGGTATATGCTAGGGTGAGAGGCATGGTATATGCTAGGGTGAGAAACATGGTATATGCTAGGGTGTGAAGCATGGTATATGCTAGGGTGAGAGGCATGGTATATGCTAGGGTGAGAGGCATGGTATATGCTAGGGTGAGAGGCATGGTATATGCTAGGGTGAGAAGCATGGAATATGCTAGGGTGAGAAGCATGGTGCTGCTATATGATAGGGTGAGAGACATATTGCTTTTATATGGTAGGGTGAGACACATGGTGCTGCTATACGCTAGGGTGAGAGACACAGTACTGGTATATGCTAGGGTGAGAAGAAAAGTGATGGTATTATCAGTATATACAAGGGTGAGGAGTTGCCGACAGTGTTATAATGTGATGGATTATCTGGAAAATCTCAATTCTCATCGTATTTTCCATTTCTATCAGCACTTGAACCAAATTGTAATCAAACTTTGCGTTAAATTGTTAAACATTAATTGACAGGTCCCTCAACCAAATTATATTTGATTAGCTTCATATTAAGCAATAAACAATAAAGAAAGAAGGCGTCTGACGTAAATAACAACAATTAAGTATAAGAAAACAGCGTTAATTAAAAGCCAAGATTTTCCAGGCGACCGTCGTTGTGATTCTTGTCTGTCAGAATGTCTGGGCTGGTGGGGGTGTAGCAGGAGGCTCCCCTGTGGCACCCTTAGCAGGAGGCTCCCCTGTGGCACCCTCAGCAGGAGGCTCCCCTGTGGCACCCTTAGCAGAAGGCTCCCCTGTGGCACCCTCAGCAGGAGGCTCCCCTGTGGCACCCTCAGCAGGAGGCTTCCCTGTGGCACCCTTAGCAGGAAACTCCCCTGTGGCACCCTCAGCAGGAGGCTCCCCTGTGGCACCCTCAGCAGGAAACTCCCCTGTGGCACCCTCAGCAGGAAACTCCCCTGTGGCACCCTCAGCAGGAGGCTCCCCTGTGGCACCCTCAGCAGAAGGCTCCCCTGTGGCACCCTCAGCAGGAAACTCCCCTGTGGCACCCCTCAGCAGGAAACTCCCCTGTGGCACCCCTCAGCAGGAGGCTCCCCTGTGGCACCCTCAGCAGGAGGCTCCCCCTGTGGCTCCCTCAGCAGGAGGCTCCCCTATGGCACCCTCAGCAGGAGGCTCCACTGTGGCACCCACAGCAGAAGGCCCCCCTCCCCCTGTGGC